GCAGCTCTAGTAGGACCCTGGACTTGGTCACACCCTCGGCCGCCTGGCGCAAAAGTGCAGGCCGCCCCAAGAACTGGCGTTGGCCTTCGCCCTCGTTCTGGCCAGGCCTCCACACACCCGCTTCAAGGGGAGTGTCGCCCCTCCGGATATCTGAGTTCCAGCTGCAGCTCCCTGAGGAAAGAATGCGCCTTCATGCCATTCAAAATGTCCATGAAGCTATATTTTGGTATAGAAAGACATGGAAAACGTTTGCCATTGGATATGTAGATTTCATTCTATATAATTTTACTTAGACAAACCTTGCTCTAAGCCGATGATATTAAGTGCGTAGTAGCCAGCGTTGACGAGCCTGTACTTGTCGCTGAGAGTCGTAAGCGCCTCGTAGACAGCTATAAGTTCCTCGACCTTTGCATGGATCTCCCAGCACACATCCGACCGTTCGCACACACGTACTTGCGTCCCTGCGAGACTGACGAGCTGGTGGCGGTTTGGATGAATGGCCATCGTGTCGATGTCCGTCGCGCTTAGTACCTGTAGACTGAAATTAAATAAAGCTGAAAGATTTAGATATGGTAATATATAGTTAGATGGATGGATAAATAGACAGATATATATATATATATATATATATATATATATATATATATATATATATATATATATATAGAGAGAGAGAGAGAGAGAGAGAGAGAGAGATAACGAACAAATTTCATTCCCCTAGGATTTTTACAGTGTATCCTAGTTCATACACTCACCTGTTGGGTCCATACAAGGTTAGAATACCAGTTTCGTGAGTGATGGGCTTAATGGAAGTACTAAAGCCTTGTTTCCAGCACAAGTCCCTCAACAGACGACTGACGATTGGCTCCATCCCGCTGCCGCACGTTACCAAGTACTTAGCCTCGCCTTCACACTCTAGTCTGAGAAAGACACATTTTTAATAAGAGTCCAGCGCACTGTAACTCGTCCTTTGTGTGATTTAGTTTCAATCTGATAGGCCTACTCCTTAATGAAAAACGTAAAAGCACTGCTGAACGATTTCTTAGCTTTATATTTTAGACCTTCATTTTCTTCTCATTTTTTATCGCTATCCAGATATACCTATTAGTTCAATGTAAATTAACCTTGATTTGAACAAGACTCGCAGTGTATCCAACGGAACCAGTTTCCACTTCTCTGGACGCTTTTCTCAGGACACTTCTATCCCCTTAAGGCAAACCTGCTAGGTCAGTCTAAGGTTAGTATTTAATGACCTTGAGTTGAATTCGGCTTACCTGGTATCTGGATCCAAAGTGTAAACTGTGACATCAGCTTCCACGCCTCCTTCCGTGTTTAGGACAAGGGAAGATGTCACAAAGCCAGGCACTCGTTCGACGTCGCTGGCAAACAACCAGTCGACGGCCCTCTCAGCGTCCGTCCCGGAGAGCAGCATCTTCCCTGATGATGACTGATTGATGACGGCTGAATCGTCTCTCATGGCGAGGTATTCATGCTCTATCTGTTTAGTAAAATTCATTCCGTCTTATAAAGTTGATTAGAGTTGTAGGAGTTCTCAGATATAAACAAAACCTACACTATTTACTGTTCATGGATGTCATTTTATACATGATACATAGTTTAAATCTTACTACACATTCCTTATCTTTTATAAAGATGTATCATATTTGTAATCATGTATCACTGATCATAACGTGATTATTTTTTAAATATCTGCTCCATCTAGCACGAGATTTCTTAATTAAGCTAGAGTCTATGGACCCCTTGGGAGTCCTGAGGATCAGATAAAATCAACATTCATATTAATGTGTTTTTTAGATTGTTTACTTTAAAGTTTTATATCTTTTGTATCTAATTAATGTATGATAAAATAAAACCTCAGTAAATAATCAGTATACGCATTGCTTATAAAACTGTATTTATGTGAATATGTCTGTGGAAGGAGGCCCATATCTTTCATCATATTCTTAAAAAGTTCACGAACCACTGATCCGGAATCTAGCATCATGAAATAGCTTAATCGCAAATTCATATTTCGATTTTGACTGTACAGTACGTAAGAATTTACCTGTTTATAGTATTTTGGGAGATTAAAAGTATGTGACTGCTGCAGAATGTCTCTGTAAGGATAGTGTTCGCGATATGTGCAGTCAAACGCCCCTCGCCAGTCGTAGTCAAGGAGCGGCGTCGCGGTCCCTGTGAAGAAGGCGGGGCGCTCCCAGCCCTTCGCCTCCTCCCAGAAGCATCCGGCATCAGTCAGTGTCTGTTGGAATTCGGCGAATTACTCCTTACCGTTTCTCTTTTTTTTATATGCCTTCATGTTTCACACCAGTATTTTAAAATCTGTATCTAGTAGCAAATCAACAGGCCCAAGTATGTGACTAAAAAACAAGCTTTCTCATTCAAAATAACGCGCGCGCACACACACACACACACACACACACTCGCACACAAATTTGTGTGTGTGTGTGTATGTATGTATATATATAAGATCGTTACCGGA